TTGACCTTGAGAAGGTCATTAAAGGTCAAATGTCAAATCTTAAGTCAGATTTGAATTTCTGAGAACATGTAGATGATTTTGAAAAAAAAATTAGTCAATTTGAAGCAAGTTGAAAAAAGACCTTTTTTTACCTTTTTTTGACCTTGAGAAGGTCATTGAAGGTCAAATGTCAAATCTAAAGTCATATTTGAATTTCTGAGAACATGTAGATGATTTTGAAAAAAAATTTAGTCAATTTGAAGCAAGATGAAAAAATACCTTTTTGACCTTTTTTGACATTGAGAAGGTCATTGAAGGTCAAATGTCAAATCTAAAGTCAGATTTGAATTTCTGAGAACATGTAGATGATTTTGAAAAAAAAATTTAGTCAATTTGAAGCAAGTTGAAAAAAGACCTTTTTGACCTTTTTTGACTTTGAGAAGGTCATTGAAGGTCAAATGTCAAATCTTAAGTCAAATCTAAAGTCAGATTTGAATTTCTGAGAACACGTAGATGATTTTGAAAATTTTTTTTAGTCAATTTGAAGCAAGTTGAAAACAGACCTTTTTGACCTTTTTTGACCTTGAGAAGGTAATTAAAGGTCAAATGTCAAATCTAAAGTCAGATTTGAATTTCTGAGAACATGTAGATGATTTTGAAAAAAAAAATTAGTCAATTTGAAGCAAGTTGAAAAAAGACCTTTTTGACCTTTTTTGACCTTGAGAAGGTCATTGAAGGTCAAATGTCAAATCTAAAGTCATATTTGAATTTCTGAGAACATGTAGATGATTTTGAAAAAAAATTTAGTCAATTTGAAGCAAGATGAAAAAATACCTTTTTGACCTTTTTTGACATTGAGAAGGTCATTGAAGGTCAAATGTCAAATCTAAAGTCAGATTTGAATTTCTGAGAGCATGTAGATGATTTTGAAAAAATTTTTTAGTCAATTTGAAGCAAGTTGAAAAAATACCTTTTTGACCTTTTTTGACTTTGAGAAGGTCATTGAAGGTCAAATGTCAAATCTTAAGTCAAATCTAAAGTCAGATTTGAATTTCTGAGGACACGTAGATGATTTTGAAAAAAATTTTTAGTCAATTTGAAGCAAGTTGAAAACAGACCTTTTTGACCTTTTTTGACCTTGAGAAGGTCATTGAAGGTCAAATGTCAAATCTTAAGTCAGATTTGAATTTCTGAGAACATGTAGATGATTTTGAAAAAAAAAATTTGTCAATTTGAAGCAAGTTGAAAAAAGACCTTTTTGACCTTTTTTGACTTTGAGAAGGTCATTGAAGGTCAAATGTCAAATCTTAAGTCAAATCTAAAGTCAGATTTGAATTTCTGAGAACACGTAGATGATTTTGAAAATTTTTTTTAATCAATTTGAAGCAAGTTGAAAACATACCTTTTTGACCTTTTTTGACCTTGAGAAGGTCATTGAAGGTCAAATGTCAAATCTTAATTCAAATCTTAAGTCAGATTTGAATTTCTGAGAACACGTAGATGATTTTGAAAAAAAAATTTAGTCAATTTGAAGCAAGTTGAAAACAGACCTTTTTGACCTTTTTTGACCTTGAGAAGGTCATTGAAGGTCAAATGTCAAATCTAAAGTCAGATTTGAAGGTCAAATGTCAAATCTAAAGTCAGATTTGAATTTCTGAGAACATGTTGATGATTTTGAAAAAAAATTTAGTCAATGTGAAGCAAGTTGAAAAAAGACCCTTTTGACCTTGAGAAGGTCATTGAAGGTCAAATGTCAAATCTAAAGTCAGATTTGAACTTCTGAGAACATGTAGATGATTTAGAAAAAAATTGAAGTCAGTCTAAACAGTATTTGTTAAGTTATAGGAAGTTGTAAGAAATTGTTACAGACGCCGGACGCCAACCGCCGGACGCCAACCACCAACCGCCGGACGCCGTCGCAAAAAAAAACGGAGACCATAACAATATGTCACCACTTTTGGTGGTGACATAACAAAAAAAACGGAGACCATAACAATATGTCACCACTTTTGGTGGTGACATAAAAAGAAACTATTGGCGAAAACAATAATTTTTGGCACTCCCTAAAATTGTGCTATAAAATTGTGTAGATTAAATAGCTAATTAAAAGGTACCAAGTTAAATAGTGCAAAATTAAAAAGTGCCAAATTAAATAGTGCCACATTAAAATAATGTACAGTTAAGTTGATTAAGTCTCTTCGAAAAGCATGATAATTCTGGCTGTAGTATGTACTGATAAAATGTACTTATATACTCGTACAGGTAAATCTTTTTTAACCTGATTGGTGTAGAATAGTAAGTCATTATTGCTGAGAACCAATCAGATTAGAGATACTATGGGTCATCCTCTCTGAGAACCAATCAGATTAGAGATACTATAAATCATCCTCTCTGAGAACCAATCAGATCAGAGATACTATAAATCATCCTCTTTGAGAATCAATCAGATTAGAGATACTATAAATCATCCTCTCTTAGAACCAATCAGATAAGAGATACTATAAATCGTCCTCTCTGAGAACCAATCAGATTAGAGATACTATAAATCATCCTCTCTGAGAACCAATCAGATAAGAGATACTATAAATCATCCTCTCTGAGAACCAATCAGATAAGAGATACTATAAATCATCCTCTCTGAGAACCAATCAGATTACAGATATTATAAGTCATCCTCTCTCAGAGAGATAAGCATAACCAGTTGATATGTGTCCATAAAGTATGGCAAAATTATGAATAAAAATTACAAAATACTCGTATAAAAAATGTACATGAACTAGGTCATAAAACAAAACCTTCTAATAAAATCTCATGCGCAGTAATTCAGCTGTTACATAACTAGACTAGTGAATTTACTGTACTTCTACTTAATTTAACGGCCATTTTAATTTGGCGGATCCGCTAAATTGTTAAAGTCCACCAAATTAAGTAGCCACCAAATTCCCCAGTGATTTTAGTACCATGTTAAGAAGTACAATTAGAACATTGTAATATTGCAAGTCCGCCAAATAAAATAGCCACAAAATGTTAAAAACAGCAAATCCGCCATAGCAGGTAGTGCCAAATTAAATAGAAGTACAGTAGTTATTGTGTATATTGTTTATAATACAAATTGTCATTGCACATACTGTCATTGTACATAACATTATTATCATTTTGTAATATATTACAATATTGTAATTAACTTATTAAGAGCCTAATACAGAAAAATTGGGGATCGGTCATTATACTGGGTAAATAGTTACTAAATTTCAAAATATGCTCAAAAAAGTTTGAAAAAAAATATTTTAAGTATAGTATAAAACGTTTGAGGTTTGATGGAAAAAAATACTCCGAGGCTTGGTAGAAAAAATAAAATATATCAAGGTTTGACAGCAAAATTATTCTTTATCCATCTGATTTCAAGAAAATGTTTGACTCAATTCTGAGGCAATAGGTGATTAAGACAATGGATGATTGAAGCAAGTGGTCAATGGTGATTGAGACAATTAGGTTATTGAGGCAATGGTTGATTGAGGCAATGGTTGATTGAGGCAATTGGTGACAGAGATAATGGATGATTGAGGCAATAGGTAATTCAGGCAATGGATTAATGGTGATTGAGGCATTGGGTGATAGAGGAAGTGGCTGATTTAGGCAACCAATGACAGAGATAATGGATGATTGAAGCAATGGGTCAATGGTGATTTAAGCAATGGGTAATTGAGGCAATTGGTGACAGAGATAATGAGTAATTGAGGCAATTGATAATTGAGGCAATGGATGAATGGTGATATAGGCAATTGATGATTGAGGCAATGGATGATTGAGGCAATTGGTGACAGGGATAATGGATGATTGAGGCAATGGATGATTGAGGCAATTGGTGACAGAGATAATGGATGATTGAGGCAATGGATAATCGAACAAATGGATGAATAGTGATTGAGTCAATTGGTAATTGAGGCAATACTTGATTGAGGCAATGGAGATTATACACTGTATCTTAAAATAAGGAAATGACGACTATCATTCTCATCACAACTACATTACCTACTTATACTGCAGAAATCTCCTTTGTAAGTGCATCAGAAAATCTCATGTCATACATATATAGAATATCAGATCTTTTTGAGTGATATTATGATATTACCCATGATGTTACAAGAAATTATCTAATATTGAGCTTATCATCCCATGATCGCAATCAAAATTTTTGAAAATTCATGTTACATAAGGGATATGGGACTGATAAATGCTATCAACCACATATGGGGCTGATAAACAATATTGTAAAAAATATCACTTAGATCACCATAATATCAGAACTATCACTGGCTGCTATTGTACAGATAACACAATCATTGTGAGATCTAGTAGATGGATATCTAGTATCCAGTCTGTCAATCCTGATCAACACTGAATTACGGATCAGAAATTGTCCTATGAGTCAGTGCTTATGTGCAGTTCTATTGTTTTGTATTGTAATGGTTGATGTTGACAGTATTGAAGTTCAGTAGAAATTCCTATATGAGACAGTTGTTATATGGCACCCTGTAGTTCTATTTGTTTTGTATTGTAATGGTTGATGTTGACAGTATTGAAGTTCAGTAGAAATTCCTATATGAGACAGTTGTTATATGGCACCCTGTAGTTCTATTTGTTTTGTATTGTAATGGTTGATGTTGACAGTATTGAAGTTCAGTAGAAATTCCTATATGAGACAGTTGTTATATGGCACCCTGTAGTTCTATTTGTTTTGTATTGTAATGGTTGATGTTGACAGTATTGAAGTTCAGTAGAAATTCCTATATGAGACAGTTGTTATGTGACCCCCTGTAGTTCTGTTGGGTCATATTGTAATCCATGACGAGGATAATATTCAAACTTGCCACTATAACAAATTATCCTATGAGTCAGTGCTTGTGTGGCACCCTTCTATTTCCTAGTTCTATTGTAACATGTAATGGTTAATTTGGATTGTGTTAAAACTTGCCACTATAACAAATTATCCTATGAATCAGTTCTTGTGTGGCACCTTGTAGTTCTATTGTAACATGTAATGGTTAATTTTGATTATGTTCAAACTTGCCATAACAAATTATCTTATGAATCAGTTCTTGTGTGGCACCTTGTAGTTCTATTGTAACATGTAATGGTTAATTTGGATTATGTTCAAACTTGCCATAACCTCTGTTGCACTGGCTCTTTACTGTCTACCTTGATACTATTCAACATAGATGCCGTCGTCTGAAAATAATAATAATCAAAATATAATTCTTGAAAAATACTCTTTATTTCATTTCATTACTGTTACTGCTCATCTTGCAAAATTGCCAATTTAAACAGTTGCCAAAGTGTCCATATGTAAACAAAAACATCAAATAAAGTAGCCCTAAATTAATAATGAAAACAGTATTTTTCTTCGAGAACAATTTATGCGAACCAATAGGACAGGAATGAAGAAAAAGTCAGTAGTAATGATCTGCCATCTATATGAGTATAGCATTTTTCATGTTGATTCACCGTATTGTGCTGCCATCTTTCAATGGGTTTCTTATAGGTTTTGTAGGGTAAGGGATTGCCTTTCATTTCCTATAACTTGGGGGTATTTAAGAGAAATTTTGGGCTTCATTCAGTAGAGAGTTAGATCGGGGGGAACATCACACATCATTTATTTTCATCTTATTAATCTCATTTTCATTCTTTCTTTATCTTTGAACAGTTTTATTTTATACTGAAGAGTGTAATTGTACATGTTTAGTCTTTTACTTGGAATAAAGTATAGTTTTATGAGTATATTAATTCTGTGTTAATCTTGTCTTTTTTACATTACAAGACCAATCCATATTATTTTATTAAGAACCCACAGAGCTATTTAAACAACAAAGCTCGAAGTTTCATTGGTGGCAGCGGTGGGATTGGTCTTTGTCTTGTAAAGAGATTCTTTTCGCAGTTTTAGTGTCTTTATTTTCATTAAAGAGTGGAGATTAGTTCTCTTCACATCTTTAAATTTGATTAACTTTTACTGAAGAGTGGAGATTAGTTCTCTTCGCATCTTCAATTTAGCTTTACTTTTACAAAAGAGCGGAGATTAGTTCTCTTCGTTTCTTTCTTTTAAGTTAGGTTCATTCTATACTGAAGAGTGAAGATTAGTTCTCTTCAACTCTTTCTTTAGGATTTTGTCTTCATATTCAGTTTACTTTGAATGAAGAGTATTTGTCTTCACTGTACTATTAAGTATTAACTTTGTCTTTATGCACAATGTTTGTTTATGCATGCATTTAAGTTGACGATCTTCACTTAAAAGACTGATAATGATCTTGCCTTTGTGTACGCTCAGTTAATTTATGCGTAACTTTACCTTGATCTTGTGAACAAAAAGAAGACAAAGAGTCAAGAATATTTGATGTTTACACGTGCTATTGTTAAGGGAATCATCATTTAGTAACGAAGACGGGCTCCCGTTGTAGTTACTTTTAAAATTGAAATACGAAAACGCTTGCATTTCAGCGTTGTACTAATTTCTGTATTTGCTATCAACAAGAAGCTCATGTAACAGGCTCCTGTTTTAGTTACTTCAAAAACACTTTCTTTTACTTTCTTTCTATCCTTTATTTCTACAATTGTGCATGCTAAAAGACGCATTGCTTTAAAATCGAGCGCGTATCTATTTGTTTGGCTGTAGCTATAGTGTTAGGATTGTCCCGAATTGGTGTTAGACGAAATTATTAATTGAGAATATTTGATTTGAATGTTCGAGATCTAGTTTTTGGTCTTTGTATTTTGTAAAAATCCCTGTATTGATGATAAAAGCGTACTTGATTCTGTTTGTGTTTTGATATTACGTATAGATTATAGCTCATTCATTAAATAGAAGTTGATACCTTGTGAATATGGAGGGGAAGGATCAATGTGAAAATGGGTGTTCTGTCGTGTTAGGTGCCGTCGGGGAAGATGAAGATGAGAAAGACGAAAATAATGAAAACTTTGATTTGATTTGGTCAGATAAAAATGTAAGTCTCCATGACGAGAAAGACACAGATGGCAAAATCACGGTTTCACCTGAAAATCAAAATGAAGAAAAGAAATCGTCGGATGGTTTATTAAGGCGTAGTCTTGCTTCAATATTGAAATGCAAGAAATAGAAAAGCGCCTACAAGATATGGATGGGATTAATTGATTGTTTAGTCAAAGAATGTATATAGTGTGTATAAGCAGAGACCTATAAAATATTTTATATGTCTCTGGTATAAGTAAATATAAAGGGAACATATTTAGTTAGCTAGTTGGTTAGTTAGGTAGTTAGGTAGATAGTCGGTTAGTAGTAAGTTAGTTAAATGTGTGCTGCATGAGCATTGTTTATCTCGTGATTATTTAAAAGCGAAAAAGTACATAATACAGAGTTAAGTAAAAGTCATCAATGCATACCTTAAAAGATCTTTTATTTCAAACTCTCCATGGAATTGCATATAGGTATATTTTAATGGCTAGTGGATGAAAACATAACTTGCAAGAGGAATTGTTAAGGGGAGGTACAGCCTTTTAAGTATGAAAACAGGACCATTTTGTAGTATTGAAGAACATTTTTCTTTATTAATTATGCATAGAAAGAGTCAAACATCCGTATTTGGCAAGAATGCAAGTGCATGTTTGTTTTGTGTCGCTGAATGGATGAATGAGATTTGTCATTTTTGTAATATGTGGTTGCCCGGGCAATTAGAAGTAGCAATTAGAAGTAACAATAAGAAGTAAGCATTTAAGATAATGAGAAGATTGAAAAAGTTACTTTTAAAATGAGATTTCTGAAGACAATTTATGTTTTACAGTAATTAAACGTGTGCTTGTCGAAAATACACAAAGGGATCGTTTTATCTGGTTTTATTAAGAGATATGAAATTCCATGAAAATGGAGGGGGTAGTTTGAGACTGGTGGTTTGTTATAGAAAATTATGATGGAATTTCATATTCCATTCGTGTAGTAAGGCCTGGCATTTTAATATGGTACTTAAATGATGAGATGTAAAGTCGGCTTTTTGTCATGTGTTCTTGGATATTGCATCTAAGTTGATAAGTTAGCTAGACGAAGAGAATTCATTGTTGTTAAGTTATGAGATTTGAACTAGGCTTCTTGTCATGTGTTCTTGGATATTGCATCTAAGTTGATAAGTTAGCTAGAAGAAGAGTTCAATGTTGTTTTAGATGAGGTTGTGTGGTTGTTACTTATTCTTGGATATCGCATCTAAGTTGAATCATAGGTAACAAATGATCCACATGTAAAGCAGTGGGGTAGAATAACTGGTATTTATCCTTGGATATCGCATCTTAGTTGAATCATAGGTATCAGTTAGCCCACGTGCACTGACAGTAACATTAGTTGGAATTACTCGGTATTATGTAGAATTAGTGCAGTTTTGTTTTAAGACTCGGCCTCATAAACCAGGGTTGGAGAATAATTTTGCTATGACTTTAAGAGGAATCAAATGGCTAATAATTTTAAATATTACTTACAGTGAGCAAGTTGTATCTTTTCAGGATGCGAAAAGCATAAAAGTATATCGCATGTTTTTCTGTTTGTGTATTGTGGAAATTGCATCATAAGAATAGATTATGATGATTTTAGTCTATCAAGAAACATATTCCTGCTGGACGGGATAATGTTATCTTTGGGATATCTTGTCTTTAAGTTTCTGATTTTGTTTTTTATTGTTTTATTCTGCACTAATTGTTATATGAGATTTTGCCATGTACATGCTCGAAATAAATGGTTATTTCCCGAGCGGCAACTGGATAATGTTATGATGACGATCATAAATTGTCAAATTTAGGGTTCAATAGAGAATTGAATTGAAGCCCAGGCAAGTGGTTTTCTCAGTTTTGTAAGAAAGTACAAACTGTGGATCCTACAACGAGATTTTGTTATGACAGCCATCAATCATCAGGTTTAGTGAAATGAATACATGAGAGATTAGTCATTTATATTTGAATATAGCAATTTGTTTGTATTTGTGCAATACATAGCGCTAAGTATGAAAATATAGAATTCTTTGGAAAATCCAAAGTAAAATGCTATTGTGCACTGAGGTGTTACTGATTTACTTTCGGAAACAAAGTCCTAGCAAGCTAGAAGGGGCGACCTGATGAAAAGGTTTAAGTAATCTTGGCAGAGTCTGAAACCCATGTTGCATTATTGATGTTAATGTTAAATCGCTAGATATGTATAATTGTGTTATTACTTTTTGGAATTTGTCCTGCCTATTATGGAAAACATGTTAAGCCATATTTATATTCTTTCTTACTGTTCGTAAGCAATTTGCATCTTTTATTTTAAAAGACTAACCACTCAGTGCATTTTAAAGATAAAGACAAGTTTCACAAGTAACAATCAGAGATCATTTTGAAGAATAGAGAGAAAATGTAAATAATTTCATGAAGAGTTGAAGTTGAAGAGTTGCTAGAAGAGTTGAAGAGTTGAAAAACGCTCAGTCATGAAAGACAAGTCATTAAGTGAAAAGTTTGTATGTTGAAGAGATAGAAAGACTAGTTACTTGTCAATGAAGAGAAATTGATGTCTTGAAGAAAATTAAATTCATGAAGAGTTTAGAACACGAAGAAGACTTGTTTATGAAACATAGAAAAGCAAGTTAAAGACATGTTAATAAAAAAAATGTTTCTTAAAGACACTTTTGGAGAACTTTTTGAGAATTAAAAAATTAATTGCCCGGGATCCCAGTAAGCGATTTCCTATGACGACCTGAAGTAGATGACGACTACCTAACCGTGAAGAAGCGATGAAGATGACCTGTGAAGGCGATGCCTATGTCTTATGGAGATGCAGACGACGCGGATTTCGGATGGAGTGGAGCCACAGAGGATTTCGACAACTGATGAAGGAGCTGAAGATGTACGATCTCCTGTTATTATGAACAATTCTTTTCTCCAACGAAAACGTTTATTATGAACACTGCTACAAGGAAATGGATATTTTATTATGGATTCTTCAGCGAGGATACGGACATATTCGATAATGGACACGATGCGGACGTGCATGTGATATACGGATTATGGATATTATTTCGACTACTAAGACGGTGCATATTTTGGATTCGAAAATATTACATCGTGGACTAGATGCACGTATTACAGCATCGTATTGGATCCAGGACTAGATACGCGGATTATAAAATCGGAACTTATAATGGTTTATTATAACGACGTTTATCAACAGGAACTACGTATGAAGCAAGGATATTTGCACGAACTCTGCGTGGATATTTCATATGGATATTGGATATGGATTATACACGAACTATGTATGCGGCACTGTGTTAGTAAACATTCATATAGGACATTGTTAAAATATCATATACATTTATTTAGATTTTGCATATTTTCAGTTTTTTTTAGTACGTACAATGTCAGGAGAATTGTCATTTTATTTGGGTGGGGGTTGTATAGCATTTTTCATGTTGATTCACCGTATTGTGCTGCCATCTTTCAATGGGTTTCTTATAGGTTTTGTAGGGTAAGGGATTGCCTTTCATTTCCTATAACTTGGGGGTATTTAAGAGAAATTTTGGGCTTCATTCAGTAGAGAGTTAGATCGGGGGGAACATCACACATCATTTATTTTCATCTTATTAATCTCATTTTCATTCTTTCTTTATCTTTGAACAGTTTTATTTTATACTGAAGAGTGTAATTGTACATGTTTAGTCTTTTACTTGGAATAAAGTATAGTTTTATGAGTATATTAATTCTGTGTTAATCTTGTCTTTTTTACATTACAAGACCAATCCATATTATTTTATGAAGAACCCACAGAGCTATTTAAACAACAAAGCTCGAAGCTTCATGAGTTAGGGTGGCTCAAAATAACACTTTTTTTTGAAAAGTCATACTACGGACATGAATTTGGTTTCCTTTTGGGGTAAAACTGATGTGTGGATTTTTACAATTTCTTTTTACAACTTTTACCCTTTTTTGATTTTGAGTCCAATCAAACATATAACCCCTGACAAAAGAACCAAATTCTTCATATTTCACAAAATAGGACATATTATATCATATACACTATGTACTCACTGGTGCTGATAATTTTCTGTTTAAAGCAAGTTTCTTTTCCTCAATTATTCCCGGGGCACTCTTAGTGCTGGTGGTGCTACCTGGTGAATGAAACAGAAACTAATTTTCACATCTATCAAAACAGTTTATTATTTTCCATACTGATCAGATGGCAATATTGTAAACATACTCCGCAAAGGGAAATTTCCCTTGGTCTTGGATTGTGATATTACTGCTTGAATGGCACGGGGAAGGATATTAGTCATTGTTACTTTTCATGTTAGATCATGAGTTTGGATAGTTTGGGTTTGTTTTCCTTATAACTGGTGTACTCAAAAAAATATTTAGACATCATTTTATTTTTAAAATAATTTAATGACTGAATTAGCTCCTCACCTTGTTTGCTATGCAATGCCAGTGTGAGGCCCCGGAGAGATGACTGTATACGACTGTTAGGTCTACTTGATGGGCCACTAGAGGGCCTCGTAGGTGTTGCCACGGAGACCTGTGATGTCATAGAGGGAGTGGGTGTGTGTACTGGTGAACCGAAAAGACTAGATACGCTTGTGCTGCGGTTTAATGTGTGTTTCTGAAGAACTCGAATCATTGCATCTTTCTCCGCCATCTGAGCCTGGAGAGTCTTTATTCTAAAACATAATAATCACAGTGGAATCATTAGAGGAAAGGTCAAATACAGAAATGTTCAATATTCACATAAGTAAGATACTTCTTTTAATTCTTTAATTGTAGCTTCATTGGCTAAACCAAATGCAAGTCTTACAATCCGTCATACATGCATCAAAAGAACTTCATTTATGATAGAAGTTTTCTGAAAAAGATTGGTTGGTTTGTTGGTTGGTTATTTAGGTTTGCTTTGTTGGTTAATGTTTTGTTACTTGCATGCTTACTTGGTTAAGGTTTGGTTGGTTGGTTTGTTGGTTTGTTGGTTAAAGTTTGGTTGGTCACTTGATTGGTTAAGGTTTGGTTTGTTGGTTAAGATTTGGTTTGATAAGGTTTGTTTGGTTGGTTGGTTGGGAACAATGTGATGCCACAGTTAAGAAGCCACATCATCTAAATCACACTTTGTGATGAATGAGAAGTCTCTCTTCCCCAATACCTGAGACTAACATAAAAGGGATTGGAAGCCTTCCATTGACCATGTATTAAATTTTCAGAATTCCCGCGACCCGCGAGAAAACGCGAGATTTCGAATCAGACGACCAGCCATTGCAGATTCTTTTCGCCGGAGCCGTGTTTTTCTTTAATTATGTAATTAAACTCACTGTCTGGTATGTATTTAATAGATTAAATGGTATCATTGGGTGCATACTTTTTGAGTAATAGTAGAATCTGCATCAGAAACGTCCTTATAATACCATAATAGGCGATTGGAAAATTGAGAAAAGATTTTACAAGGAAAACTGTCGTAGATCGAAATGAAAATAAAATCATCCGTGGATTTTTGACGATTTGTGTTAGAAATAACATAATCAATGTATTAATAATGTTATATATAGGTTATACATCTACGACTTGTGCTTTCCTTCTCACGTTTTATCACAATTTTACATCCTACTTTTTTATCCATTTTTCAGTCAAAAAATGAAGTCTCTCAAAAGTTTTCTCATGGAGATAAATTATCCAGAAAAAACAGGGATATTGTTCACATGTCATTAGAAATTAGAGCAAACTTAGACGTTCACCTCAGACTTTTCATTTGACTCATATATTGGTTCTTTTAATTGTCATAGCTGATTGAAATCATTGTATAGGCCAAATTTCCCCTCACTCAGATTTTCCAAAATTTTCTGTATCCAAATAAATAAATCCAAATATCCTTCAGATATGGTTCATATATTACTGGAAAGAGCAGAATTAGTAGAATTGCCAAAATAATTCACTGAACTGATAGCTTTCCTTTTTTAATTGTCATAGTCCTCCGAAATCATGGTATTGGCCTTCCCCTCATTTCGCGATAAATTGCCTATGATTTTTCAAAGGTTTACGATTCCAAAATATTGATCCAGACATCCCCCATATATGGTTCATATATCACTGGAAAGAGCAGAATTAGTAGAATTGCCAAAATTATTCACTGAACTGATAGCTTTCCTATTTTAATTGTCATAGTCCTCTGAAATCATGGTATTGGCCTAACTTTCCCCTCATTTCGCGATAAATTGCCTATGATTTTTCAAAAGTTTTACGATTCCAAAATATTGATCCAGACATCCCCCATATATGGTTCATATATCACTGGAAAGAGCAGAATTAGTAGAATTGCCAAAATTATTCACTGAACTGATAGCTTTCCTTTTTTAATTGTCATAGTCCTCCGAAATCATGGTATTGGCCTAACTTTCCCCTCATTTCGCGATAAATTGCCTATGATTTTTCAAAAGTTTTACGATTCCAAAATATTGATCCAGACATCCCCCATATATGGTTCATATATCATTGGAAAGAGAAGAATTAGTAGAATTGCCAAAATTATTCACTGAACTGATAGCTTTCCTTTTTTAATTGTCATAGTCCTCTGAAATCATGGTACTGGCCTAACTTTTCCCTCATTTCGCGATAAATTGCCTATGATTTTTCAAAAGTTTTACGATTCCAAAATATTGATCCAGACATCCCCCATATATGGTTCATATATCACTGGAAAGAGCAGAATTAGTAGAATTGCCAAAATTATTCACTGAACTGATAGCTTTCCTTTTTTAATTGTCATAGTCCTCCGAAATCATTGTATTGGCCTAACTTTCCCCTCATTTCGCGATAAATTGCCTATGATTTTTCAAAAGTTTTACGATTCCAAAATATTGATCCAGACATCCCCCTTATATGGTTCATATATCACTGGAAAGAGCAGAATTAGTAGAATTGCCAAAATTATTCACTGAACTGATAGCTTTCCTTTTTTAATTGTCATAGTCCTCTGAAATCATGGTACTGGCCTAACTTTTCCCTCATTTCGCGATAAATTGCCTATGATTTTTCAAAAGTTTTACGATTCCAAAATATTGATCCAGACATCCCCCATATATGGTTCATATATCACTGGAAAGAGCAGAATTAGTAGAATCGCCAAAATTATTCACTGAACTGATAGCTTCCTTTTTTAATTGTCATAATCCACTGAAATCATGATATTGGCCTAACTTTCCCCTCATTTCGCGATAAATTGCCTATGATTTTTCAAAAGTTTTACGATTCCAAAATATTGATCCAGACATCCCCCATATATGGTTCATATATCACTGGAAAGAACAGAATTAGTAGAATTGCCAAAATTATTCACTGAACTAATAGCTTTCCTTTTTTAATTGTCATAGTCCTCCGAAATCATGGTATTGGCCTAACTTTCCCCTCATTTCGCGATAAATTGAAAATGATTTTTCAAAAGTTTACTTTTCCAAAGAAATTCACCCAGACATCCCCCACATATGGTTCATATATCACTGGAAAGAAATTCACCCAAACATATACCATATATCACTGGAAAGAGCAGAATTAGTAGAATTCCAAAAATTATTCACTGAACTGATCACTGTGTTTTTGCCATTTTGAATTTTGGGGCTATTAATTTTCATTAATTTTCTCATTTTCATTGGTTCGTGAATTTTCAAAAAATGTCCTGCCTTTCTCTAAAAATAACCCAAATCAATGCATTTGGACTTCCTCATGATCATTAAAATACATTTCTTTCAGTTGCAGAGTGAGAAAGTAGCAACCAGGCCTCTTGTTCCTGTTGACTCTACCTGTTAATGGTGCAAACTGGAAGGCACTGAAACTGATCTGCCATGTTGCAGTTACGTGTGATTTCTGAGGTATGTGTACAATGTTACATACTGATATACAATAACACTGCCTTACAATATTATAAAAAAAGATTAAGGGTATACTTGCTGGAATTACACCACAAAATCCGCTAAAACGTTTTAGTGGAAGGCGCTTCACAAAATCGCCATTCTGATTACACCAACATTTCTAGCGCTTCTTAGGAATTATATTTTGGAATTACACCTGTTTTTTCGTGTTTTTCCAGCACCTTTCGTGCACTTTTAACAATGTAGTTATGGATAATATCCAGCATACATGTATGTTTACATCTGCAATCATGATTACACCTAATTCTTAAACCTGGTTAAAACCAAAGAAGCTTTTGTAAAACGCCATGTGTAATTCCAGCAACTGTTAGTAACTCATATGCCCAAGCCTAATAAAGTATATGTACAGTTAGGTATTTGCATTACACCATATTTAAAACTTATTCAAGAACTAGCTAAATGCTTTTATATTTTCTGAACAAGATCTTTTATTATGGTTGCAGGAGTCAACATCCTGGAGTCCATTACATGCTGACATTGAGCCCTATGACTCTTTTCTACAATATGATATGATATGACCTGCTGCAGTTACATGATACTGTAACACAAACAATCTGAGGTATGTATAACATATCACATGATATGTAGTAAGTTAAAACATAGAATACATGATATCATGTCAATGCATATATGATACAGGTGTGAATTGTGAAATTCTTATACAGTGTGGTCCAGAAACTCTTTACTTTTAATGCTGTGACTTGTGGGCTTGCTTGGGTCTAGGTGTGCCAAGGTCCTTCACACACAATCCTTATCCAAGGGAGACATGTCTAGCTTCTCCTACAGATAACTACGTAATGTTTTAGTTGATGGAAATATTGTTGAGACCATTTGAAGGGCATATATTGTATGGTATGAGAAACTGTATTTCCAGTTATGATGTCTCAAGCAGAGAAAATTTCATGACTTCCGCAGTTTACAGATTATGAACATGACAAGCCAAAAATAATCATACATACATGTTTTTATCATTGACATTTTCACAAAAAATCATGGTACCATTATCCAATTACCATGTTCCATTTTTTATTGGCCCACCCTGTATCTACATTTAGTTGAAAGACATGAAATGCTAATACTTTTCATTCTTATCATGTTTTTTTTCATTTGTAATTGATAAAGAAAATGAGCTTCTATGTATTTTCTATCAAATGTAATACTAATGCTGTGATGAAACTTATTTTTTCAGTAGGCCTAATGATTGCATCTTTGAACGTTGGATGAGACTGCTACAGGGGAATGCCCATATTTTAGAGCTGCATCTTGCAGTCCTGGTCTACTATAATTAGGTACATTTCTAACTAGTCTAGTTCTCCATGTATAACTTCAAACAGAAATTTCTTGGAATCTTGAGTCTTAATTATAATGCCTAAAAACAGTAATATTATATAAAAAAAACTTGCAAAGTGGTGATCACAAGGAATTTCCACAGTTTTGTTTTTAAACAGAAAGTAACAAGGAACATCCTTTGAAAGAACACAAAAAACATGAATTGCTTGATATTGAATAAGTTGAACAAAAACCTGTAAATGTTTTTCTTTATTTTTCTTCAACCCTGCATAAATTTGATACTGTTATTTGTTTTCAGGTCACAGCACATTCTGCTCTCATTCCTATCAGCTTCATATCAGCATCTACCTGATACACGGCATTGGATGTTTGTGGATTAAAAACATGTAGCCAAGAATCTTATACTAAGGACTTCAAAACAACATTATTTAAGAATGTGATAGATCTTGTCAAAAATATAGTATCTTATATATTGAGTATAAACTGATAAAGACAGCCTAAGCAAATGTGCTTTTTACATTCTACAGGGACTTTAATTAAGCCACCTCCAGAAGGTACAAGATTTGATGCTACCAACCTTGCACCTCACAGTGTGATCTAAGTGTAGTATCAGTTGTATTTGATGACAATTGTAGTCTTAAAATGAAATAAATGATTGATGATTTCCCTGATAAGTACATGTCTTGTGTGAGTGCTATCCAGTGAGCCTTTTTTAGCATTACTTGGCCTCCTTTTTTAGATTAAAAGACCAAATTATCAAAAGATTGGCATTAAATTTAAAAAATTGGGCCCAATTTTGTTTTTTGGCGCCCAAATATCAGACAGATTTAAGCGGTGGTTATCTCCAAAATTATTTATCCCAAAGCAGCCCCGTAGCCAGGATTTGCCAGGGGGTTCATTTTTTGAATAATTAAATCCAGGAGGCTTCACTTTTGAGAATTTTGGCCCAAAAATGCCCAGAATAACTTAAAAAGTGCTCAGAATATTGAAAACTGCATGAATTTGAAAAAAACTTGGCCAGGGGCACTGGCGGATATGGACCCCCCCCCCCCGTTGGGTGGGCCCAGAAAAAAAACTGGGCCCAAAAAATTTTTGAGCAAAATAGGGCTCAAGGCCCCAAAAAGGCCTTGTAAGGCCTTATTTTTAATTTCAGTCCAAATTTTGAATAAAATTGGCCTAAAATTTGGGCCCACTTTTTTTACGCACAAGCGCGAAATTTTTTTTCTTTCACCTGAAATTTGGGACCCCCCCCTTGTTGGTTCCCAGATCCGCCCCTAAGGGGGGTTGATACTAAATGTGGACACTGCCCAGGCAAGGGAAATGGGTCGAACTCATCTCCCTCAGCCAAATTCTCTCAAATTCATGCACTTTTTCACCACTTTGAGCATTTTTCAAGTTAATAGGCCAGTTGTCAATAGGGAACCCCTACTGGAATATTTAGAAAGTGAACCCCTCCCCCTTAGCGGCTAGCTATCTACGGCCCCGCTGCTCGTTGATGAGATAGACAGTAAACTCTTATAATGGTCAGCTATGGGAATCACTTCCCCTGTTTCCAACCTGTACAATTCATCCATTCCCGGTAAAAAATGGCATAACGCACTAGACGAAAATGCGAATCATGGATAACTCTATTGTAAAAACGAACCTGACGGCAAACGAAAATTCCGCTCGATAATGTACGTGATTATGTTTTTTAGCTTAAATATTATCGTAAGTTAAATGATTTATAACAATAACATGATTGTCGTGAACGTAGGCCCATATAAAAAGCTCTTGGGGATTCAACCAAAAATGGATAATTCTCATTACACATTGCCACGGAACATGATGAAGTCAAAATAATTTTGTTATTATTTTCTCGAACTAGGGGGCAAAAACGATGATAATAAACACGAAAATAAGGTTTTTGAGTATTTTCCTTGGCCAGTTTGCTGTGGATCAATCCCGAGTTGTCTTTATTTGAAGGGTCAATCTTCTTTTTGAAGAGCGCTTTGAAATACAAGTGGCGCCACCATGGCATCGTGGCGCGGGTGGCACAAGTCTCGCATAGAGTTTCCAATCCCTTTTATGTTAGTCTCAGCCAATACATAACAAACTCATATATTGATATATTGAAGGCTCTTTTGTTTCTAACTTTAGTTTGCTAGTCTCTTCGCAAATTTGTTGGTTTTTCAGTTTAACTAGTTCCACATCTCATTTACATGACTCGGAACACAATGGAAATAGTCAGAATGACCATAAACATGATGAAATAACCTTTTCAGCCCTCTGAAAATGTGACTGAAAAATAGCTAAAAGTAGGTGCTCAGGAAAGGTCAATGAACAGAATCTTTTGATTTTTTCAGAAAATGTGTCTAATATACGTATTGCTCTAAATGATACAATATTTGAAATTTTAAATACCAGTAATCGTCTGAAACAATAATGGCTGTAGTTAAAAGGAAAATAGATCGATTTTAAATTCAGTTTTTTTCATTTTTTTCTTTTTCTAAGAATGATACAAAATTTTTTAAAATTGTGTCATTTAGAGCAATATATTGGGCACATTTTCTGAAAAAGTCAAAAGATTCTGTTCAGTGACCTTTCCTGAGCACTTACTCTTAGCTATTTTTCAGTCACATTTTCAGAGGGCTGAAAAGGTTATTTCATCATGTTTATGGTCATTCTGACCATTTCCATTGTGTTCCCAGTCATGTAAATGATATGTGGAACTAGTTAAACTGACTGGAGATCCAAAGAGAACTCTGTTATCTTGGTTCAAAAATTTTTCAAAATCCAGCATGGTTTTTGTTTTGTCATTTCCTGTTAACTTCCATAGCACCTAAAATACATGCTTACTTTGCTTCTAAAGTTGAAAGTTTGCGGGTTGCCTCATACACTTCCTCCTGGTTCTTCAGTCTGTCAGTCTGAGCCTCAGCTATTAGTTTGTTGGTGTCTTCTGTGTTCCTCTCCAACTCTGCTATCTTGGCATCTCTACAATTAAGATTTCACGTTATGCATTTTTCAATTCATTACTTTATAATAGTACATGAGCACTGACTAAAGTACATGTGCACTGACTTAGGTATTGACTTTTTTCATCATTTTATTTCAAATTCATTTAACATTTTGTGCCTGTCATACAATAAAGGTATTGACTTCAGTACATAATATACAGTGACACTAATACAAACACTGATCGGATTTACAAGTGCACTGTCATTATACTAGTACATGTGCACTGATCTGGTACAGATGCCCTGGCATTAGTGCATGTGCACTGGCAATAGTACAGGTGCACTGATCTGGTACATCCATACTCACTTGGGTGTGGAAGCCACATCAACTGCAAAATCTCTTAGGGCAACCTCTTCTATATATTTCTCCTCCCATCGCATTTTCTCACTTTCAAGGGCAAGTATTCGTTGTTCCTGATCTATGATCGTCTTTTTTAATTTTGGCACTTGTGGGGAGTTTGGGTCCTCTATGCTCAAGAGTGACTCTGTACTCTGAGACATCGATTCCTTATTCTGAAATTAGATATCATTAACATTAACTACAGGCAAATTGTGTGTTGTTTCATAGTCAGAGTGTTTTAAACTCCTTAAAGGTAAACGATTTAAACACTTTTGTGGTAGGTTCCATTTGTTACATACTCCTTATGTTTATGTTCCTAATTATGAATTTAAAGATTCAGAAAAATCACATGTAGACATTGCAGCAGATTTTGTGGCATAACAGTATTCATCAGGAGAAAAATAGTTCGGCTTCTAGAAATTTAATTCAAGATTTCAGTATGTGTTACTCACAAGTGTTTTTAAAGATTGCACATTCTGTTCTAATTTGTTTCTCATCTTTTTCTCGATTCCTTCTCGTTTGGCACTTGTGGCTTGTAAAGACTGAAAGGCAGACTGGAGCTGTTGAGCTTTCTTGACCTTAAATCAAATTAAGCAAAAAAATAATAATAAAAGGGAGTACCGTATTCGCTGTAATGGGTTACAATGGGAATTTCAATTTCAAAAGCACCCTGATATATTCGTTAATACTTGGTCATTCCTCCATATTTCTTGAGCTCTGTGAAGCAGGGTGGGCCCTTAATACAGCTATTTCGGTAAGGGTGAAATATGACTATGTTTTTGGACTTTTAAAAATAAATTAATAGCACAGCTGTAATCTGTATTCATTCTCTATATGCAAACCTGATCTTCCAGTTGTAGAATATTAGCCTGGGCATTATGTAAGGCACTGTCCAGCACATCAATATGCGTCCTCTGCTCCTGTAATGTGCTCCTTTGGGCAGATATCTCAACATCCAGTCTTTCTTTACTTGATTGTAGTTCTCGATCTGCAATTAAGCGATCCAGTGAGGAAAACTAGGCTGTAATATGGCTCCACACTACATAGTGGGGACATAAGTCAGTGGGTGCTTACCAAGTGCAGCTGCACTAATTTAAAAATTCTAGTACATGTGTACTAATCCAAGTACATGTGCACTTACATAGAACAACATATCTTTCTGTATATTTGGTTGTTAGATAAAGTCTGATAAGGTGTCACTAATTTTGCATTTTTAAACCCCCCCCCCCCCCTAGTTTAGCATTAATGAGTAGAATCAAAGATAGCTGGAAACTTTAAGAATTGTGTATATTTAGTATTTTGTTGTCTCTACATTCCTTGTCTTGTAGAAAAACCCCAAAACTTGAAATCGTTTTAAAAGGAATATAGAGATTTTAACATTTTGTCCTTGTAAAAATAAATGTAGATAATTCTTTCACCCATTTTTCTGAATCTAACATTTTGCCCAAACATGTTCACTGTTTTTGTTATGCCATGAAGAGGAAAAAATTTAAGTTTACTTACTCAAGGCATCAAGTTTTTCGATCTGTTTATCTTTGTCAGAAAGTTCTTTTATCAGATCTGAATCTTCATTGTAAGTTACCTATAATGAAAAACGAAATGTAGGCTACAGGATGGGCTAAAATGTCTTAATTTTTTTTTACTTTCATAATCCTAACTTTATTAGTTTGCATGACGAAACATTTGAAATACAGATTCAACTTGGTTTAGTTAAAAAAGGTTTATCAAAATAATTTTTTAACAAAATAATTTTGTCTACCATTTTGGATGATACTTACTGCATGCAGTTAGAGTCATCCAGTGTTTATGATTTTATGAAATATGTTATAATTTAGGAGAAACAAAGATGATGACTATCAAAGAACTCAAATATGAATGGTGGGTGCAGCAAGGGTAGCATAATATTTCATATTTCAGTTTTTCCCTTCGCATTCCATATTTTAACCCCCTTATTTCCACTATTTCATAATATTCCATATTTTATCCCCTAATATTCCGATATTCATTAATATCCATCTTTTTACCCCCTAATATTCAACTATTCCTTTATATACCATATTTTACCCCCTTATATTCTACTATTCCTTCATATTCTATATTTTTACCCCCTAATGTTCCACTTTTCCTTCATATTCCATAAATCATCCTCTCATATTCCATTATTCCTTCACATTCCATATTTTTACCCCCTTATATTCTACAATTCCTTCATATTCCATATTTTTACCCCCTATTATTATTTCCATTCCGTGATACTCGTTCTCTCATTGGTCAATTAGATACAATGTGACTAATTATTATATAGAGGTATTCCATGTCTCCCTGCTTAGAAAACGTGTGAAGAGTATGTTCACCGGCAGTGACATAATTTTTAGTGAATACCACTATAAATTCAATTAAAATGACATCACATCACTTCATTCCTGGGAATTTAGTAAAAGGTATTTTCATCTAATATGACAGACGGTAAAGTTGTATCAGGAAGTCCTCCCAAGAATATTTTCAATACTGCATAACAAACACGGGATAAAGATTTTACAAATGCATACAAAATGTCAACTAATCAAAGCACGAAGAGTATGGACTTTAACATGGAAGATCCAAATCTAATTTTTTTATATTATGGTGTGACAGAGATCATGATTTATAACAGAATATTGGCAACCGTTTGGAAATACGTTGAAACTAAACGTCATATCATAACAATATTGTGTACTTTTAACTACTGCGCGCTACTTTAATGAGGAAATAATAAAACAAATATTGAATTCTGTGATCATTTAATATCCGTATATATTTCTGAAGGTGTTTTCACCGCAACACAGAATTCAATATTTGTATATTCTACTATTCCTTCATATTCCACATTTTTACCCCCTAATATTCCACTATTCCTTCTGTTCAATATTTTTTACCCCCTCCCCCAATATTCAAATATTCCATATTTTAACCCCTTATAATCCATCATATCAATATTTTCACCCCCTAATATCATATTCCATATTTTCACTATGCTGCACCCCCCCCCCCTCCCTGAAGTGTGTGGTTACTTACAGCAGTGTGTCTTGAGGCCAACTGAGCCAAAGCAGTTGAAAGTTGAGCTGAAAGAAAACACACTGTTAGCATGAAGAAAACCAGAATGAAAAATGTCATGTTTTGAAATGTAAAATAGAGTGAAAAAGATTGGAATTAGCGAGGAAGAAAATACCCAAACATGAAGATAACACTCTAAATTGTATAAAAATGCAAGAAAATCAAGCAGCTCATTCAGAGTTTTGAATAATTGAAATAGCGATCACCATAACCTTTTTTATTTTGTGAAGTTTGAAACATAATTTAGAGTGTCCTTATTACATATTACTTTTAAGTGTTTATCATAAACACTTGAGGAAAAAATGTTGACAGCTTTAGAATAAGTACTGGTATATAGGTTATTGTTTCAGCAGTGAAATAAACCATGAACCATAGTATTGCCATTTTGCATTGCAGAAATGATGGATGTGATACATTGTTAAAACTGTGCATACTCAAACTAATTGAAAATTAACTTGAAAATTTTGACATGAATTGGACAACTGCATTGATGCCTATAAAACATCAACATTCGAAAAGCCAAAAACGCTAACAATATTATATTAGTCTTCCTTGAAAAAAACCATTATAATCAATAAAGAAAACACCAAAACACTGCTAGATAACTGAGCATTTAGATTCAGACGTTATGAAAAAGATACCAAAAGAGAAAAGTGAAGACACCAAAAGATGTATTACCTAGAAGATGCATCACGCAAACACAATAAACCCCTAAAAACCACAGCGAAATAAGAAAGAAAACATACCCTTTAAGTCTCTGTTATTATCCTGTATCTTTTTGATATCATTGTCCAATTTACATCTCATTGCTTTCTCCAAGTTTTCTCTCTTCTCTGAAGACTTCACTAACATGTCATAATTCTCTTGCGCCTTCTGGATCTCAAGCTCAAACTGAAATACAGAAATATCATATAGGGTACATGTAAGGAAAGATTATATAACATTTCATTGCTTTCTCCAAGTTTTCTTCTCTGAGAACTTCATTTCTTGCGCTTTCTGGATTTCAAGTTCAAACTGAAATACAGAAATATCATAAAATAGGGTGCAAGTAAGGAAAGATTAAATAACATAATAAACAAAACTAGATAATGCATGATCCAGTTAAAGAAAGATCAAAGAAGGGATAGAGACTGTAAAATGTTGCAAGAAAGATTGGTGACATAGTTTGTCTAAATTTCCAAAAGGTGATTAATTATTAGTCTTTTGTTGTGATAGACCATCAGAAAGTTTAATTCAACATTTACTATTTCATATCAATTTCAAATAACACTGAACAAATTAATTTTTTACAAAAAAATGTTGCATAGCATAGTGAGTCTCTGTTGCATATACAGGAAAATTGAATAAAAATATTGTTTTTTTTTAATTTTCTACTAAGGGCGATTAAATTCTCTTATTGTTTATTGATAAATGTTACCACAAAAACACTCATAATTTGTCAACCAATGACATTCCTTTGTTGACATCCTTGTTCAAATATTTGTGCGTCACAAATTGTTTCAATTTTTATTTTATTGGGTCCCTTTAACAAAATAAATATGGTTGTTATGCCCATTCTACAATATTTTTCTGGAAAATTTGAATAAACTACAACATGTACAATGTACTTAATTTTCTTGCTTTTCTATACAATTCTAAGTGCCAACCATATGCCTGTTTTACTCAATTCCTTTGCTAATTCAATTCTTTTATTTCACATTTTAGGCATGACCTGAAAGAATCTTTTATTTACAGGTATGTCAAAATAGAATGCTCTGGGATATTCAATAATACGTTTCAAAAACAATGTTTTGATTGATCAATAGGGGTCAAGGACAGAATAATCCAATCATTGAAGGTATCTTGTAGAGGGTGACTTGAATTGACCCAAAATACTAAGAAAATTGAACTGTTTACAAAAAACTTTGATATAACAAACACACCACTTATTCACAAATGCCATGGGCCAATTATCCTATATATATACGTAGCGTCTTCCTTTACCAAATTAATTGATTTGCTCGAACAAAAAGAGGAAAATATTTATGGTTCAATATAACATTAGAAAAGTGTCATAAAAAAATTTGAAAACTATCAGAAAGATATTTTAGTGACGTAGGAAATCTAATCGGAAAAAATCTTGAATAAAGAAAGTTGAAGAATACAATCAATATGAAGCTGCGAAGTGTCAGTGTCATCATGTGTCTCCTTGTTGCTGTGTGTCTTATAAATGTGGACGCATGTGGACGTCGACGCAACCCAGCACCAGGTTAGTGATCATTATTTTAGCATTGCGTTATGAGAGAAGTTTGAACAGTATGTTCAAAATATTTTGTTCAGTTACCATAGAGAAATTCTGGATCCCTCAAAAAGTATTAAACAAAACAGTAAGTCTTATATAATATACTACCGATTAAATTTAAACTAAAAGAATGGTTAAGTCTCTTACTTGTATAATGATTCCGAATACTAACACTTATCAAAATCATCATAGCTTATTTGAGAATTAAAATGGTAAAATCAGGTCAAGAAAACCTTAAAATGGTGACTCCATATCACTTTTTTCACAGGAACGCCAAAGATCTACAATTTTAGCATTTTATTATTCAGCATGTTCATGCACCTACTACTGCACCCATCTCCCTAATGTGGCACCTTGCTACTATTATGGTACAATCATTGTAATGATTGCATTTTATTTTGCAGCATGTTCATCATGTTCAGGCAGTTCATGCACCTACTACTGCACCCATCTCCCAAATGTGGCAACTGGCAACTATTATGGTACATGCGGGTCTGATAGAATGTGCCGATGTTTTAACTTTATTGGACAGCGGGTGGCACAGAAATGTGTATAGGGAACATCAGGTATTGGTATTTTTATAAGTATGGAACACCTTTTAAGCTACATGTACATGTTTGTAAACCTACAGGCTGGGCAAGTTCATAAAGTATATGCATTTAATGTGCAGGTAAATTTACCTGAGATACAGTATAACGCAAAATGCCTTATGTAGTATCTTACTGTTTAGGCCATTAAACCGTGTATATTACATATGGAAATTGTGTTGGTTTATACTCTATAAATTTCACTGTCTAGGATGTTGTTTTTTGACAGACATTCACATCTAAAAATATCTAGAAACAAGACTGAAACGATGAAACGATCAGTTTTTTCAAATTTCTTCAACCTCTTGTTGTACCTTACCCCGCGCGTTCAAATCTCACGCTTAATTTGGTACAGCCCCTGTGCCAATGTATCTCAATGTGCAGCAAAGGAACAGCAAACTGTTTTCTTAGAAAACCTCACAAGTTATTTTTAACTCAGGTGCTTCTTTAAAACTTTTATAACAAAGAAATAACTTACTCCGTGTAAGAAGGTATTTCTAGCAAAAACTAGAAAACAGCAACTCCCTAGTGGAGCAAATCTCACTGAACAAAACATATGTTTTGATAAATAGGGTCCACCATGAAAATGTCCTCCATGGAGTAGCAAATCCCACCAAACGAAAAATGTTTTGATAAATAGCGACCATCTTAAAAATTCTTCTTGAACAGAGTGTCTTTTTCTCTAGGTATCAGCACATAAACCAAATCCATCCACTGGAATTTGAGTTATCAAAGACTATGTTTTTTTTATAATTATGGCTGCCATTTTGAAATTCAGCTGCCATCATTTCTTCTTGAGGAGAGCTCTTTTCCCCTAGGCAAAGCATCAGCATATAAAGTTTGAACAAAATCTGTCGAGTAGTATTTGAGTTATCAAAGATTACATTTTGAGTTTTCAAACATTATTTTCTTTTATGAAAAATGGCAGCCATTTAACAATTTTTTCACTCATTTTTCAATTTTCTTTCACTCATTTTGCCAGTTGTTTGTTGTCATAAACCACCAAGAATGGTAACTTCATGTTATTTGTGATTTATTATGGTAACAGGACAAATTATCCCTAAGACAACTTATCCCTAAGACAACTCATCTTTAAAACATCTCATCCCAAGACAACTCATCCCAATTATATTTATTTAATTACATTTATTATATTCTTCCAGGGTTCAACCAGCTATATTCCATGATTGCCTTTGGTGTTTCATCTGACAAAATAGGAACAGTCCCTACACTACAGAAACATTATATATAACTGACTTCATGAAAAACAGTAGACAAGTTACACATTTAACAACAAATAAATAACAGACTTCTGTGGAATTGAACCTCATTTGAAGGACATCTTTTATAGATGCTTAAAGCAGCAAATGTAAAAACTGAGTTGCTTCACCAAGTATAAAGTTATTTAGGTACATGTAGTTTTTGTTGTAATGATGAATAAAAAAATGTGTGACTTTGGGTATGTTAATAAGTATCATTTACAAAATTGCTTCTTAAAGCATTAAGATATTAAGATACACAGCTTTTGCTGTAGTAGTTCAAAGTAATAAAAATTGAATAATGAATGTGTTAAGGACTTGTTAAAAAGTATTTCAAATGTCACTGAGCTCATGCCTTTTACTTGTTGTGCCTTACAACTGAAACATATATAACATGTGTATTTGTGAAAAACAGGCAGAATTTGCTCTACATCCAAGTAATCAAAAAATAAAATTAACAGAATAAACCTTTTTGGTAAAATAAAATTAACAGAATAAACCTTTTTGGTAAAATAAAATTAACAGAATAAACCTTTTTTTTAATCACATTAACTATGATATATTGGCTTAACTGAAGATGTCATTGGTTGTCGGTAGAATTCTGACCAATGCAAAAGCAGGATTATTATTGCCAATTTTGAAAAATACAACCAACAACAGCATCAATATATATCCTAGCTTCTTTGAAAAATCAAATAGGAGGCAGGGTTTATAGGAAATGTCTGCTGATTAGATTTGTTCTCTTACCTTTTGTAGTTTGGTTATCTTGCTGTAGTAAGTCTCCAGTTCTTCCCGTAACATCTTATTCTCACTCGAAAGCATCTCCACCATCTTTGAGGCACGAACAGCAATATCAGCATAATCTGGTTCGTTGTGGGGTTTCTCTTGTTCCTTGTGACCTTTCACCTCAGCTTGACCTTGACCTTTCTCAATGAGGCGTGTCAGATCAGGTTGCGATCGTGTCATTTCTAATTTGTCTAACATTTCAAAAGAACGTCGTAATTCAGCACGGACACCCTCCATGTGTCTACTATTGGTTCCTGGAAGTGCACCTCCAATGCCTTCAGGGAGGAATCGTTTAACATCTCGCTCGAGGATTTTGTTTTGTTTCCCTTCTGGGAGACTGCGTGTCTCTTCACGTAGATTTTTCTGTTCATCTTGCGGGTTTGAGTTTTCCTTTTGGAGATTACATTTCGTGTCTTGAAGAGAAGCAGCTGGGAGTGACGGAGGTTTATAGGGCGGTGGGGTGTATTCAGGAGGAGGCGGGGGTGAATTGACGGGTGACACAGGCAATTTTACTTGCTGTTGTTGTTGCTGTAAGAGATACTGATGCTGTATCTGTTGTTGCAGATGTTTCTGCTGTTTAAACAGCTGTTGTTTCTTACTCTGCTGCTGTTGTTGTAGCAGCTGTTGTTTTTGATGTTGCCTCTGTTGACTATCTTCAAAGATTTTTGCGGCTAAAGGAGACACGTGTTGAGCCTCATTTTCAGATTCGTTATCCTCTGATCTATTTGGGTTATTCTTTCCTTTGAAGATACTTGCGATTTTTTGGCTAGTCGTCTTTGGTTTCATAGTTGCACTTTGATCACCAGACCCAGGGGATTGGAACATCCAGGTTTGTGTGGGGGTGGTATGGGGGTGGAGATGACCTCCTGAGGGGTAAGAGGAAGGATTGGGGTGAGATTGCATAGGTCCAAGTTGTGGTTTAGATGGGGGGCCCTGTTGGGGAAAATATTGCATAGACTGCGTGTGTGTTAAAGCTGTTTTTGGTTGAGATGTCATATATAAGGATTGCACGAGATTTGATTGCACCAGCTGTGGTTGTGCTAATTGCATGGGTTGAGATTGCGATTGTGATTGCACCATTGTGTTTTGACTTGGTTGAGACAGGTTAGGTTGTTGGGTTGTGCTCCATCCAGGCCTAGCACTCTGAATTGTGTTTGTGCTTGTATCCCAAGCAGAGTTTCTATTAGTCACCATTGTATCATGTGTCATGTTTGGAGCCATCCCTCCAGTGACGTAAAAAGTGCTCGAATTTGTTGTCCTAACCTCCAGACCAGGTTCGGCAGGTTGAGTATGTTTAGCTGCCAATTGGGCCAAAATGCTATAGCTACCATCGCTGTTATAAAAATCTATGTCTAAAGCATTTGCTACATTAGTATTGGGTCTGCCAAAGATCGCGGCACCCACAGGTAAGGGGGTGGGGGTCTGATTCTCCTCCCCAGGAGGATCCTGGCGCAGTGAAGTGCTGAGATTCTCCGTTGATGAGAGCGAGATATCAGTGCTAGTCTCGCTACCAGAATAGCTCTGTCTATAACCTGGAGCAGAATTAGATGAGTTTAAGCGATTAAAAAGTGGAGGAAAGGAATAAAGTAAACATTCTTGTGTTCAAAAACACTCTTTATTTGCACAGAAGAGTCATAAAATGAGCAAGCTCTTTTAAATCTAGAGAGAATAAATGTGAAACTAGACATTATGTAACAAAATGTCACCAGCTGCTGAAGTGTAACAGTTTGTTAGAGTCACTGACTTACAATGACAAAAAGTGTAACCCTTTGTTACAGACATTAAACGATGTTGGCACCACTGGTATTGAATGCTAAGAGTAAATATCATGCAATGCATACTTCAAATGTATAAACTGACTGGGACAATTTACATTTGTTAGACTCATTGACTGTGTAGTTTCAATAAGAGAAATTTTCAACAAAACAGTTCTAGAGCAGAGCTTCTCAGTTCTTATAAATATGGCTGCATGTTAACTTCATACTAACCTGGCTGTGAAAGTTGTTTAATGCTTCCTGGGTAAGGAGGGGGGTCGCGGTAGTGGTGGTGTTGCATTTTGATTGGCTGAAATAGATAGACACTGGTGTATGATGTGTATCTGTAGAACATAAAAGAATAATTTAATGGGTTCCATTTTTACAATTAAGGTTGAAGTTATACATATATGTACATGTACTTGCAAAAACATTTTTGAAAAAATTGCTGTACCTGCACATGTTATTTTCTGGTACAAGATAAAGTGTGAAGGCATGTGTGTATTTCCTTGCCTTTTTCAAGAAAGCAACATTTCATTGTTTACTTTTAGTAAACCTGGTAAGAGGTAATATAGGAAATTATGATATTTAAAAAAAAATTCTGGACCCATCGATGGGGGAGGCATGGACCAGGGCCTAGATCCGCATGTTACAGGTATGTACTATGTATGTATTGGGTTTTACCATGGATAAAATGAACAACCATTTGACTAAATTTGATGAATCACTGTAGTGCCTTTGGTAGAAAATGGGTCTCAAACATGATGAAATTGACACTTTCTGCAACTTTCAGATGATTTTTAACATGGTAGCGAATGGGTATCAAAAAATACAGTGGGGGGCGGGGTCTAAACGTTGACGGATTGAGCTGAAATTTTTATATAAGTTTAGGTAGTGGTTATTTCCTTTAAATAGCCCCAAGATCTAAGAAAAAGTTGAAACAATGATCCACCCTAATTAGGGTAAAGGGGAGTGGGGCAATGTCAACATTAGAGACAGGGTAATTTCGACACTTACTAATTAGAAGAAGAATTTCTGTTTACCGCCATTTTTGATCATTGGAAAAATTAAAATATTGCAAGTTCTCGATCCATGCAAGAAAAGAAACATGGCTTCCCCCTAGATCAGAAATTAGAGCAAATAAACAACAAGGTGTCAAAGTTACTCCAAAATGGTGCCGACATTACACCTCATCGCCCTATACATATAGGCCCGTAGGTAGCTACAGTAGGAGGAGGGGAGCTGTAGACTATATCCTCTTGTCTGAAATTTTTTTGAAATTTGGAATGAAAATATTCAGACTATAGCCCACATATTTTAAATTTGGGATTGAAAAATATTTGTTTACATAGGAAGTGCCATTCAAAATGGCCGACTGGGTAAATTAATTTGCATATTTGTTACTTCCCCTAGCTTTATTTCCATTTGACAATATGCTGTGTTACTTTTCATAGCATTTAATTGTACCTTACTACTTAATTGAATTGTTATAATGCTTATTTTTGGGAAGGGAAGTTTCCTAAAATTGATAATTGTGTGCCTGAAATTTCCTGTTTTTTTCCCACAGGAGGGACATAATGATCAATAGACTGAATTCTCAGGAAATTTTTTGAAGTCCAGGTTTCAAGAACTATTAATATTAAATTCATTTATTGGCGTGGGCCTTCTGCATAATTAAATTGTCTTAATATTCTGTCTCTATCAATGCATTACTCGATTCACCGATGCACGTTGCACGATGCACCGAGGAATGCATTGGTCGGCGCGTTAAGCTTGCCGATCGATGCATCGTTTAAATGCGCCGCAATGCAGCTCGGTGCGCCGATGTCGTACCCATCGTTGCACCTTTCGATGCGACGTTCGATGCACCGAGGTGAGATCTTCAGCATCACCTGTACTGTACATGTAGACTAAAGGGAGCTGGCCAGTAAATCTTTCAAAATCATCATCGTTAAAACTGGCTACGGGCAAGACATATACAATGTATAATCTTTATCAGATCTAGAAGATAAACTTCTAAAGTGTGACTGGTTACTGAACAAACTTGGCTCAAAAGCTTAGTGACAGGTCACTGACTGCAGCTCAGAAGCCAGAATTTTTTTAATTTTTAAAAGTAGAATAATAACCTCGATATCTTACCACAAATTAGCAAACAGGTCGAGTTAAAAAGCTGCATAAAGATGAAAAGGTCGTTAAGGTATTTGTTTATGCCTCATTTTGTCAACAGTTCTGCTCGAGTGGTCGTAGAAAGTCGAAATGCCCCTCCAATTTACCAACATTCCTTGCAAAAATGGCTGAATAAATAAAGTGGTATTCCCTAATGACGTCACTAGAGTCAGTGGAGATTTCCACTTCCTGCAGAAAAATTTAAGAAAAATTTAAAGAAAATATTCCCTTATTCCTCATTTCAGCAGCGCAAACAAGTAGGTGAACCATACTTTATTCATCCTAGATGGTCTTCAGTTATAATTCTATGATTTTATGTGTTTTTATAGCAGGAAAATAATGAAGAATGGAGAAATTGAAAATAGAAAAGTTTTCGCACAAGAATTTCTCAGAGTGAAAGGGCTTTGTAATAAAAACCTCTTACCCACCTAAAACCTACGTGGGACATGACACAGTGGAGAGGTTAAGCAAATACGGTTTTTCAAAACGTATACGTAAACGCAAAGTACATTGAATCAGCATAGGATTGTATCGCTTTAGTCTACTTCAGATACCCGTTCAACTTCAAAGTTGCGTGTTTAGAACGGGAGATTTTAAAATTCACGTTGCTATCAACAGGAATCCATCATTAATTATTATACTCATGTCTGTTGAATACTATCCTTGCAATTTTGATTTCGATGCAGAGTATAATTCTTTCTGAAGAAGATGATGTACAGTGGGGGGCATAAAGAATTACAAAACCTATGGAAATTACATGTTGTCGCATATGTAATAAATTCTTACCTCAGTGTATTCAGTGCTCTATTTTCTCCGTCATAGTAAGTCCAGATATAGTGGAATTTGTGTCCATAATGACAAATAAGAACTTAAAAATTTGATGTGGAATTCACATGTTAATGCCGACTCTTCAAATGTTGAGGTGATTTTGGAGCCAGATTACGCCGCAATGTGGGTTGGCTCCCAGAATGCAACATGACACGTGTCAGCTTTCAAAATGCCATTCCGCCGTTTTGAAATACGTCACGAATAAATAAGGTTACTTGATGTTGCATTCTGGGAGTCAATCCTCCTTGGATCACAAACATGGCGATTCATGAAAACATTAGTCCGATTTGGTAGGGATTTATCCATCATTTGCAGGTATGAGGCTTTGGATTCATTTATTGTGCTACTTAAAGTGGATGGGAATTATTTTTCTACCACTTGGGAGAGTTTGAGACATAAAACTTAGAATTTAGCTCATTGTGACAACTTTTGAGGGTTGAGATTTATTTTTGTCCCCCACTTTATGTTATGCATGATTTAACTCCAATAATCTTACGAAACGAGCTCGTTTAAAATATGTATTAGAAAACAAGCTATTGAACTTCATCAATGGCATACTATGTAATCATTACAAGCTATGGTGTAGTCTAAACAAACACTAGAGCTGAACGGCTATTTATGTGTGAACTCTACATGTATTTGTATAGAGGCGATTGATACGTTTAAGTTGCGTTTTGGATTTTATACGGTAGCTTAACCTCTCCAGTCATTGAAGGGTTCAATTTTAAAGATTTTTCAAAATAGCTCTAATTATTAACATTTCTACAATTCCGTCTTTATTTTAGACCAGACGGATGACAGATTCATAAATAAAGGCATATGGGTACTGTATCGTGGCCTTCCAGTACAGATATATTTCTGCATGAACAAATGGTCATGTCGTAATCATAAAATTTGAAATCATATGTCTGCCCTTTTTCCACATCACAATTTGAATTGGGAGTTTTGGTCTTATTACCTCACCAAAAATTCCAAAGATCTTTAAAATTGAACCCTTCAATGACTGTATCATGTCCAACGTTCGTGGGTAGTTGGGTATGAGGGAGGAGGTTTTTTATACAAAGTTGAATTTTAGAAGTAGTACGTATGTATCCAACAGACTGACTAAATACAGGCCGTCCAACTGCCCCCCGCAATTTGGGTATTTGTCACGTATTTGCTGGAAAATTTGTCACGCCATTTTTTGCATGACAGAATATGTCACACAAATACAATGGGGAACATAAAGAATTACTATAAGTAGCTATGAAAATTACATGCTGTCGCACATGTGATAAATTCTTACCTCAGTGTATTCAATGCTCTATTTTCTCCATCCTAGTAAGTCCAAATATAGTGGAATTTGTGTCCATAATGACAAATAAGAACTTAAAACGTTGAAGTGGATATTCACATGCTATATCCCACATGTTTATGCTGACTGGGTGTCAATCCTCATTTTGAAACCTATCACAAGTAAATAAGGTTATCTGATGTTGCATTCTGGTAGTCAATCCTCCTTGGATCAAAAACATGGCGATTCATGAAAACATTCGTTCGATTTGGTAGGGATTTATCCATCATTTGCAGGTATGAAGCTTTAGATTCATTTATTTTTCTACTGCTTGGGAGAGTTTGAGACACGAAACTTAGAATTTAGCTCATTGTGACAACTTTTGATGGTTGAGGTATTTTTGTTCCCAACTTTACGCATTTTACCTGATAATTGACCAGCAAAAATATTCCTGAAGAAAAACTTCCAAAAAATGATCGCCGATACAGCACAAAACTGAACACCGAAAAAACAAACGCATTTCGTTCAAAATTTTTTCACGCGGATACCGTATACATGGTATATGTCACGCATTTTCCTTGAAATATTTCATATCTCCCGAAGTACGAAGTATGTCACAGTGTCCTCTATGATTTCATGTTGTACACTTTTGATTTTAGGCTACTGCTAAAATGGTATTCAAGAAGTATGGCTCATACCGATTAATTGGACCAAAGAAAAGAAGGGGAGAGAGAAAGAAATATTCAAAGAATAAAGATAGCAATATCACAAGGTATGTTTAATCACTCAAAACAATATGAAATTGTAACGACCCTTGGGCATGTCTGTCAGGGAGCTGTAGTGTAAGGAGCCAGATATTAGACCCGAAAAAAAATTATATGATAATTTAATGTCCTCAACAATAAGGCTGATTAATCAGACTGTAGAAGAACCAAGATCACAATTTTTATAGTGAAGACTATACCAATTTTTCATGATTTTTCTCATTTTCAAGTGGGTGCAAATGGATTTTCAGATGGGTGCAAGCCTATTTTCAAAATCTCAGGTGGTTGCTGTGCCAACTTGCTTTAGTGCTCGACATCACTACACATGCTGAAATGCTTTTGAGAATCAGATTACTGCATCATATGTTGATGAAACACACTAATTGTCGTCTTTACATCTTTTGAAAACAGTTAAACACATTATGCGTCTCTTTATTCACAGTATCATTTGTTAATCAGTTTGATCCAATTGAGGACAAATTTTAAGAACTAAACCTGACATGTAAAACTGTATTACCTTTAATTTTAGTGAAGATATGACACCTAGTATCAATTTATCGGATGAATGTGACACCAACGAGTATGCCACCACCAAAGAAGACACCAAATATGACATCACCAAAGAAGACACCAAAGATTATAACACCAAAGATGACATCATCAAAAATGACAACATTAAGGATGAACCTCAAAGCTTTCTAGAAGATGAACATAATTATTTTACAACAAGGCAAGTTTGACACAACTTTGTACAATTTTATAACATGTATGTAGGATCTTTCAAAAATGAACACATATTTTACTTTGTCATTTCGTCTATTTTAATGTAGAATCTAATGAAAAGGTTATATGATCCAAGAATTCCAACTAATGAGCTAAGAATGTCTAATGACAAACTCATGCATTTTAACATTTTCTTTTTGCATTATTTGACTTAGCTTTTTAAACTTCTTTCTGTCTGCTTGCTGATTGGTTGAGAAAACGTCAGCGCAGTTGGTTTGAATAAATTTGTGACCTTGACTGTTAGGGCCACTAGCACTGGGGCAGGGCTGCTTAGCGGTAGAATTATTCATAGGTTACTTTGAAACTAGCCTCTACACCCGGTGTATGAATTATTATTTAAATGTTATAATTCTTGTTGCTTCAGTAATGGTTCCAGCTCTTGGGTGAAAGATGACCACGCCTATTGTGCTCCAGATACTGAATATAAAATGTAGGTACCCAAAAACTGTGTATAATCATTGATTTTAATTGGTTAATATATGGTCATTCTATGATAGTAGGCACAAAAAAATCAAATGCCCTACAGAGTCTTAAAAATTTGTCAGAAAGGAGGAAGACAAAACAAAAAACATGTGAATAATAAGTATATTTTATCCATGGCTTTGTAAAATTATGCTGTGAAAACCTAAATGTTATTTTTATAGATTTTTCTTCTTTCTTTTGCTAAGGTTCTATAGATTGATTTAAATTTGTGATTTCAGTAAAGTGGAAGATGTGCCATCGCAGCCATATGATCCAGAATTCCCTCCAGAGTATTGGGGAGTGGAAGACTTGCCATCGCAGCCATATGGTTCTGAATTCCCCCCAGAGTATTGGGGAGTGGAAGATGTCTCATCGCAGCCAGATGGTTCCGAATTCCCCCCAGAGTATTGTAAAGTGGAAGATGTGTCATCCCAACCATATGTTCCAGCTGATTTCGCTTCTAAGAATTGTAATGCGGAAGACGTGCAATCGCAGCCATATGGACCAGAATTCCCTACAGAGTATCGTGAATTGCGTGATGCAATACAACTGGATGCCTGTCCAGGACAGTTTGAAATTATGCGTAAATCAGCAATGATTAAATTTATAGAATGTTATGATTTGGAACCAGTAACAGTCAAAATGTCTGTGGTAGTCACCCCTGATTATTTAGTAAAAATACGAGTTCATGGTCAGGAGATTCAATCAAATCATAATATTTGGGAACATATTCCTCAATATACCTCATCAAAAGAAGCTATTTTCAAAGTTTTATTAGAGCTTTCTCAATTGCATGTATGTTGTGGAAATCCAGAATCTGAGTTTACTAAACATATGTCACGTAGAGATGGACTGGGTGAAAGCACAGATAGGGATAACCAGGAATACATTGCATTTCTTGAAACTGGATTTCATACAAACTGCGTCCACTCAAAAACTTGTGATCTTCTAATTAGGAATACATGTACACCTGGAAGTCGAGCATTACGATGTCGCCGATGCCAACTCTACAGAAACACGTTACGAAAAAGAAAATGGAGAAAGGAAAACAAATCTGATACTCCTTCCAAATTTACTAGCAATCAGAAACTCAGCCATAGTGACCTTGTCATAAAAGCTTCAAAGCTTCAGAGTGAAAAAACTATTTTGAAAAGAGAGGTGGAGATTTTAAGGAGAAAGTTAACTGCTAAAGGAGACACAAAAGCAGAAAATGTGAACCTTCTGCAGACTTCTGAGCTCCCACATCCCATGGACGATTCTGGGGATGAAATAGATGAAAAATTAGTTTCTGACTCATATAGAATGCCCATTGGGGCAATGATAGAATCTATGCTTGGAGCGATGTAATCAGAGAGTAGAAAGATTGAAAGATGGCAGTAGTGTCTGTCTTTATAAATCTTTTTTTAGTGAAGATCAGCCCAATATTGAACTTAGTCAAATTTAGACAGATTGCCTAAAATTACATTTGTATGATGCGAGACTCAACATTCACTTGGAAATAAGAAAAAATTGCCACGCATTGAGAAAATTAATTTTTTACTGCTTTATAAATGTTTAATGACAGTCACATTGAGTTCTATTGAAGTATGAGAGTAGCACGATGTCTTGATATTTCAAGGTAACTCTTTTTAATAGTGATCGCGGTGATTGAAACTACGATATAAAGATAAAACCGCAACGACATATTTGTAGATTTCTTTGAAAAACTAAGAAATATACATCACATATTGAATTTTTCAAAACAGAAAAAAACATGTATAAATAGAAAGGCCTGCAGGTTCGATTCCCCCTGGTAGCACTAACATTGATCCCGTGTATGTTATACAATTAATATTTGAAACACAATTATTATTCAAACTTATGATCAGACATAAGTATGATGTTTACTTCAAGGTAATAATGTAATACTAGTATCATAATAATGTCCGATCATATGTTCAACTTAATTTGGCTGTCATTCACCATTTATTAAGCAGTAAAAATCAATTTGCTCCATGGGTGACAAATTATTTCAAGTTTCCTGGTGAATGTCGAGTCTGACATGATAAAAATGTATTTTAGTCGATCTGTCTGCATGGGGTGATATATAACATGTCTCAGGATTCATATTTGAATACAGGGTGTCCTAAACTCCTTGCATATTCTGCCTTGAAATTTTAGAGTTATTTATTTCATCCAATAGACTAGAAGTTAGTAAAAAAAATCTTGATTTTCAATATTTATAATTTAAAGTGATATCATATTTGGAGTCTGTTGTTGTTTGGAAATTCCCCATAGCATAGACATGATAGACCCCTTGTTATAAAGTCACAAAGTAAGTGAAATATATTTTCTTGTGTTGGACAGATAATATTTTGTTTTACTGGACATATTTTAATTTGTAAACTATCAGATCCATAAGCACAGGCTGGTATCGAAATATTTGTCCGCTGTGACGGAGCATGCTATTTTTCATAAAAACACTAAGAATACTTCACAATTTATTTTTTAACTCATATGTTTCGTTATACCATACAAAATTACTTACTCCATGCAATGGATATATCATTTGCGGGTAACTTTCACTTCTGTTTGAAGTCCAATTACGCTTGGAAGAAAAGCTATTGAAAATGGCGCCGGAGTATCATACTTCAAAATGTACCATTTCTTGTTTAACTTTCTAATGGCACGTTATAGTGACACGATAATATTTACACATGGTTTCAGCATAACTATGAAGGTATAAATGAGATGTTGATGTATTTGGTCTTTTTAATTCTTTTATAAAAAAATAATGTTTAATTTTTTTGTCCGCTGTGACGGAGCAGTTGCAAATGTGAACTGTGAAAATGCTCCGTCACAGCGGACAAAGAATATTAATATGTTTTTTTTTTAAATTAAAAAGACCCAATGCATTAATACTGTATCTCATTAATACATTCAGAGTTATGCTGAAAACATATGTTAATATTATCGTGTCACTATAACATGCCATTAAAAAGTTAAAAAAGAAATGGTACATTTTAGAGTTTGATACTCTGGCGCCGTTTTCAATAGATTTTACTCCTAGCGTTATTGGACTTCAAACAGAAGTGAAGGTTACGAGCAAATGATATATCCATTGCATGGAGTAAGTAATTATCTTTGATATAACGAAACATATGAGTTAAAAAATAAATCGTGAAGCATTCTTAGTGTTTTTATGAAAAAAAGCATGCTCCATCACAGCGGACAAATCTTTCGATACCAGCCTGTGATAAGGGTGATATAAAAATACACTATACACTAGAACTGACGAATATTCAAGTTTAAGAGAACTGTCTAATACTCTGCCATGTTATCTGACCTGAATTAGCCACCTGGTGGTGAAACTGGTTACTTCCTACTGGGGTATGGGTTATTTCGAATGAAAATGATAATCAGCCTACCAGTCAAAAATAATACAGTACGCTGAACCTTACAAAACATGATACAAGTGGGCACCTCTCTTCTACCTGTATATTCAATTGTGCATAGAGACAGAGAGAGGTGTGCCCGCTGTGCCCCACTGTAGCGTGTTTTGTACTGAAAGATTTTCTAGCAATTTATTTTTTAACTCGAAAGCTGCTTATTCGTAGACAAAATAAATATAAGATACATATAAATATAAGAAGTTTTTCAAAAATTCATGAACGGTTTACATGTACATGGACACTCAAACTGATCGTGTTTCCATTGTAACTTTCTTAAACTTTTAAACAAGGCTGCTTAATTAATTATCCTATTAACTGTACTCGAACTGTACTCAGGTACTGTATACCTGGAGTGTATACGTCTTCATTTATTTGAATTAGACAATTAATTGAATTGAATTTAAAGAATTAAAAATAACCTTTGTGAATTGGGGGAGCAGTCAATGGGTTTAAGTTGAGAATAAGACACAAACATGTACGTATGTACTACATGCAATAAGACATACAGTATTGAAAAATAAAAAAATCAGGTATCAGTGAAAGGAAACTTCATGCCGGAGTTTTCCGCGAACAGGCCCATATGTATGAGAGAGGGCTGTATGACGGAGTTCTCTTTGAAGATATGCGAGAAAGGGATTAAAAGCAACGTAAAATGCAGGCCCGTAGCCAGGGGAGCGGCCGCTCATAAATTCTTTCAAAATTATGCAGTTTTTCACTGTTCTGAGCACTTTTCGCATGATTTTTTGCCAAGACTGTCAAAAAGCTCCCCCCCCCCTTGGCAAAAACTCGGGATTCCCCTTGATAAAACCGCTCCCCCAAGGTAAACTCTGGCTACGGGCCTGATATGTACGGTAATGAGGCGAGTGGTTGCCGCCTGTGACCGGTAGTACCGTTCAAGTACTTATTGTTTTAGTAATTAAACAGCCGAAAGTTGAATAATTCGCGAAAACAAGCTCAACTTGTATTCACGAATTCATATAGCGGCTACCGGATTAACTTACTATTTTATGACCAATTCATTTAAGATGGAATAAATGTTGTAACAGCTTTTCATATTTGAATTAGTTGCCCATAAATAATGGGTTTGGGTAAAAGGGCATTGGGCGTGGTATCTACCATCTACAAGGTGTATTATAAAAATGGTTTGGGTAAAAAGGCGTTGGGTGTACGTTAAAATGTACTTAGCTTTCATTCATTGCATTCGCAAGTGAGGAAATTGAAATGCAATGAAACGCATATAGGAGATCAAAAAAAATTGCACCCTATGCTTAGTGAGCGGAGCTAATTTCAAGGGTGATGGTAAAGACGAGGCAGGGCGCCCAAAAACCAAAAAATATTAGTACCATAATCTTTCAAGTCGTATTATTGCAGCATAAGGTAATGATATTGTGATATTTTATGCTGTTTTAGAAGTGAAAGATGTTAAACTATGCATATCGTTTGTTTTACATCCAATAAAACGAATAGTTAAGATGAAACAGTCGTTTAAAGATACAATTTGAATTTACCGCAAGAAATTACAACCTAATATTGTCAATATGTCAATAATTCCTGATCGATGTCACATATAAAGATATATGTACCTAGATATTTTTTCATATATGCGAAATAAGGCGGTCTCTAGTTATGTACATCCAATGCAAAATGAATGTTTACTAGAGTGTCTATTCGGCGATCAGAATTTCGATGACGAGCAATGGCGATGTAATTTGCGAAGAAAGCATCAGTGCACCTAGTTACAGGCCAGGTTTGGGCGCCATGCCTCGTCTTTACCATCACCCTTGAAATTAGGTCCGCTCACTAAGCATAGGGTGTATCGGCGCTCTGTATTTTGCAGGCAGGCGAGAAGGCGACCCAGATGGGCTCTTGTATTATTTTCGCACATGTCTTATCGTGAGTGGGAGGACCCAAAATGTCATCTTTCATTCCGTACACAGAGAAAAAAGAAATTGATAAAAATTCATAGGAGTGGGGGGCGTTTCAATGACCCACGCCTTTTACCCAAAACCTAAAATAGTCCTTGTACATGTACATGGTATGCTTATGTTAATCCATGGGCCATGGTTAATCTGGTAGCCGACAGCCGTCACATGGGTTTAAAGTCACATTTCAATTTTGCTAAGCTTAAAGAGAGAATCAGATCTAGCGTACCCTGCGTGCAGAGTCTAGTTAAACTACAAGACGAATCTCTCTATTAAGAAGTGAAGTCAAACGAATGCAAAGGGTAGATCTAGCGGGAAGGCAAACAAAAAATTGTTTCAATTTTAGAATATTTCCAGCTCATGTCATTCCTTGTCATGTCTATTTTCTAAAAATCCCTGAAGTGCACACTTTATTTCAGGAAAACTTAAGATTTTTACAATAATGTATTATTTTTCTATAAGAAATGGTTACCATTCTTATTATTTGGGAGAATTTAAACATTTTTCACCCATTTTTGCACTTTGAATCCATAATAACTTAAAATTTAAAACGTATCGTGAATCTTTTGGGAGATATTGTATTTGAGATATTTGTGAGGAATAGAACGGTAGGACTCCTATAGATCTGATTCTGCCTTTAAGCTAACTGATTTAAACCTTGTTCAGTGCTCTTTCATTCTATCAAGTTTCATTGGTTTACCCATGGACTTTCATGCCCATGGTTTACCGCAAATGATGATTTTATGGCCATATTACTTCAGTTGTTCTGACTCACTATATCAGTGCTCACAGATATAGTGTAATGGCCCTCAACTTATTGAAAAACATTTATTAATCAATCAGTAGTTAGCAGGGGCGGATCTGGGAACCAACAAAGGGGGGGGGGCGAAGTTCTGCTGGTCTGAGAAAAAAACGCGCTTGCGCGAAAAAAATGTTGGGCCCCTAAAACCAAAAATTTTGAAATTTTGAGGCCCATTTTCTTTAAAATTTGGCC